CGGCTGATTGGCCTTTGCTGGATGACGATGGTTTCTATCTCGGGCCCCTCCAGCATGCGTGCACATGCCAAATAGCCGGCAGATTGTCTCGGTCTTCTCAGGACTCAGGGTTTCGAACTTCGGCTACTGCGGCCTACCCCTGCAACATGGACACTGCAATTGCCTTAGCCATCCAAAACGCACTCAAGTCAGCCACGTGTCCTTCGGTGGGGTCAAGCACGTGCCTGCAGGCAGACGCCAGATCTGGGATCCCGGTCGACACCTCGGTTGGCTCTCCGTGTCGGGCTCACGGGGCTCGCACGTCTATTGAGGAGGTGGCGACCTCTGTGGCCAGCGCCCAAGTTGGCGGCGGAGTCAAGCAGTCTTGGGGGCATGGCCCACAGATCATGGCGTGGTACAAAGGCTCGTCGAGGCCGATTCACGATGGAGGCGGGCTGCTTTCGCCGGGGAGGTGGCCGATCGGTCGTCGTGACTATTCCCTCAGTGCTCGAGGTGAAGGGCTGCGGGATGTAGTTCATGAGCAGTTCAAGTATTGGTGCGAAGCAGTGAGAGAATCGGGGAAGGACGTCATGAAAGACAAATTCTGGCCTGCGGCCGCGGGCTTGATTAGGGAATCGCCTTTCTCGGAGCACATCGAATCGGCTCGGTTTGCTGTGGATGAGTTCTTGCATCAGGAGGGCTTGGAGCCTGGGCGAAGGCCTGAGGACTTGGAGTCTGAGATTGCCTTTCGCCGAATCGCAGCTGCTGCGGAGGTCCTCGGGGATGTGGACTTCCAGTATCTCCGCGAGGTGGCTGAGGTCGGGGTGCCCATCGGAGTGGGCGTGGAATTGCCGCGGGTCCCCGATGTATTCGAGCCAAAGGTCAAATGGAACCTCAGCGAAGCTGAGGGTGAGTTCGTGGACACGAAGGCAGATAATTATTCGTCTGCGGTGGAGTCTATGGCGAAGGTTAGGGAGCAGGTTGAAGAGGACGTTCGGAAAGGTTTCATAAAGCGGATGTCTCGTTCGGAGGCGGAGCTCGAGTACCAGGGCAGACTGGCCGTGGCGGCGCTTGGTGCTGTTCCGAAGGCCCTAGACTCTGACGAAGTTAGGGTGGTGCACGATGGCAGCCATTCTGTTGACGTCAACCACAGAATCAGAGTTCTCGACCGCATACGCAATCCTCTAGTGGACGATGCTGAGGCGATCATCAGGCAGGTAAAGGAGG